GGTGTTGTTACCTCTTTCTGTTTAAAATTACGGAAAATAGATACAAACGATTTTTAAGTTTGTAATAAATTAAAATGAAATCTCATTCAGACTGGATAGATTATTACAAAAAATGTTCAGCGTATAATGGCTTTTTATGACACAAAATAAATGTACAGTCATCTTTTAAATTCAGCATATTCATTGTGTTTATTTCAGGAAATGGCATTTTTGCGTTAGTTTCATACATGCATAATATAATAATGTATTTTATATATGTTGATTACACACACAAAGTATTTATTAAGTACAGGTATCTGGTTCATATATGTACAATTTAGAAACATAAGATAAACAATTCAATACATTTTGACTAACACTGTCACAATTCAAGCAACAGATCAACCAGTCCTTGTAAAGCATCCTTATATTTTCATTCCGTTGTCTCTAAACGTTTAACATACTTTCTAACCTTTTCATGAAAAAGAACATCTCCGGTGAGCTGACAAATGGTTTCGGCATTTGGTAGAAAACAACGATGTTGAGCTAACTCGTCATTAATAGTTTCTCTCGAGAGGTAGTCATTATTTGGGAAAACTCTTAACATCCCGGCCTCGCTTTTTCCTGGATCAAATCTAATTGCTTCCGGGTCATAGTTGTGGCGAAACTGAACTCTTTTCAAACATCGATTTTTTTAAAAGAAATTTTCTGCATATTTTTTTTCGGTTACTCTGCATTTGAAACAAATATTAATTCAAATCGAAGAACACAACTTCTTCACAAATCTTTTCTATTTCTGTTAGCTTACTCTCTTCCATGATGTGGATACCATTAGATTCAGATGTTAAATATCCCTGTTTTGGTCGGTGATCGTTGCAAACTACTGTTTTGCAAGCTGATAGACAGCAACCATGGTCGTAGGTTACCAACGATTCTGAATGGAATACTAAATATTTGTTTATGTTGTAAGTCACAGGGAAGAAATATCCAGATATACCAGGCAGAGTTTCTAAAAAGCAAAAGTTTAGAATTAGAAAAGCTTCTATTGCTCTGCTTCCAATGTTTTCTTCACGCCAATATCCATCGTTTTTGTAATATTCACAAAGAAAGAGAACAATATTTCTTAAGATAAAATGAAGGAAAGATTGGTTCTCTACAACGTTGACATCTGTACCTTTGTTCAATTTTAGGGAGTAAAACTTTGGCGATGCATTTTACCAAACGATAGGTTCGTATCTGAGGAGAATTCCTCCCGAAAGAAGCAAATGCGTTCCTTTCCAACTGGGATGTAATAAATTTTATTTCAATTTTTCTTTGAAGCATTACATAAAGTAGTCCTCTCTCGTCTGCCAAACACTGAACAAGATCATTTTCAAGCTTAAAAAGATTTTTTTGCCTCAGTATTATCTCTTTGGAGAAAGGGATAAGAAAACAGATATCCACGTCAACTTCAAAGAAGTCACTGCTTCGAGTAAAGTGGTAAGTGTCTGCCATCTTCCGTTCAAAAATATTGCATCCGGTGACTGCAAATTTCCATCCTGGTGCAAGGTTTTCAATTATACCGGTACTAGCAGACATAAGACCTTTTAACGCGTGTTGTATATCGTCTGCTAACATGTCTGGACGCCCAAGCTGAAGGTCAGCACACAAATCTAACAAAACCTTGTTTTGTTTTCTCTTCTCTTTCGAAAAGAAATCTGGATGAGCCAATTTTGGAAGAATTATTGTAAAATCAAACTCATCCGGTTGCCCAATTTTAGTATATTCTGCTGAACTGCCAGCAAGTTTTAAGTAGCTGTCCTCGAAAACCTTGCATGATTTTTGAAGACAAACCAAAGAGTCCTGAATCATCTTCAGAAGAATCTTGCATACATCTTCAAATTCCTCTTCATTCAATTCCAAAGAAGATTCCAGCTTTTGAAAGAATGATGTTCGTGTTTTCGTGGGATTGAAAAGGATGGCCCTGACATCCTTCGGTTTTTGAAGATGGGGACAACCCTGAAAGTTGAGTTTATCTTCATCCTCCCAGTAGTCATATGACCAAACAGGTGTAGACAACGCCATTGAGACTGTAAAAGAATTGGAAAGATTTAAAACACTGAAGAAAGATCATGCATAGATCTATAAATAATTGTTCACAAATCTATTGATACTCATCTTCATGGTATGAAAAGTAAAGAAAAAGCAAGTTACATGAATTGAAAAGAAAATAATTATTTTAACTTAAACGATCATTGGTAATATATGTTTGAGATTTATTACTAAAGTCAGGTTTGAATCATATTAATTTTTGACTGAATACAGTATCGAAAATGCATTCGTGCTTTGGAAATCTTTTCAACTGCTCCTTGGTATTTGTAAAAAGAAAGTAAATTACAATGTTTATAGTTACAATGCTTCCAAAATTGTGAATTGTGTGACACCAATGGTCAGGGTTCCTTAAGGCGGAAACTTTACGGAACATATTGTGGAAATTCATTATTTCTTTAATAATTTCTGCTCTGTTCAGGGCATTAGAAAAACAACTAAATTCGCAGTTTGGATGGGCGTTTGTCATACAGTTTAATTGTTATTTGGCGTTTATTGTCTTTGGCTAGAAATACATTCAAATATGAAACAGATGTCGCAGACTCTGTTGTGGGATCTTTTATTTCAAGTTCAACTGTTGGAATGGTGTTACATGAAGAGGGGCCACTTGTTTATACAAAAGACTCTTATACTAATTTTCTAGTCGTTGGTGTTTCCTGAAGGAGGAGTGATTTATAATCATTACTGGATACTCTTTCCATTTATAGCTGACCTAGGCGTAGTCAATTAATTTTCTTTAAAGTCAATATTTTCAAGTTTTTCTACATGCACCAAACGTGCATAGATTATGTATCAAGGAATAGCCTTATACAAATTGATCGATTGTCTGTTTGTTACTTTATGTCCCATTCGAAAACTTTTCATACATATAGTGAAATCAGCACATACCGGTGAAAGCCTTCAAATTTAATCCTTTACTTGGCACTTAGGACCTTGAATATTGGGGGATTTTTATTGTGCCTACGCCTGTCGTGACACGTACGGTGTCAACTTTGAATTTAAGGTCTCATCAGAAGGATTCACAACATTCACTCCACAATGCTGAGCGCATAGAGAAGGAACAGACGCTACCTATTTTTTTTAATCGACTCAGGTCAGTCGTTATGCTGAACCTGACTTACAATTTCAAAAAGATTGAATTTAAAGTGGTTGGAGCAGATCCATTCCCAATGAACCATTAGGCCTATTTGGACCTTACTTTCCTGAATAATGTATAGGGAATGAATTCTATCTAATTTACTTTAGATATTGAGACTGACAAGCATTTTCCAGACTAGCATCGATGATGCAACTAGAGATGGACATTTGCTTTGGACGAATCTGACCTACGTACATTTTCTGGACAAATAAATTTTTGGAGCAGGTGCATTTTTAAGTAATTACATGTATGTCCTATTTATACGATAGTTGCATTAGATATTGATCTCGGGAATGTACATAAAGAAAAATTTACAAAAATATTTTGTCTTAAAATGCTTACTTCATTGAATTATTTTTTATGTAAAATACTCAATGTCTTTGTAAATCAGAGACGATAAAGACATTATAATTATGCTTATTCTAAAATATTTTGAAAATGTGGTAATTCCATATTTGTTCAATTTTCTATAAATTTGAAAAGATGACGGTCTTTCTGAAAAGCATCATGGCACAATAATATCGAAAAATATATTGCAAATGCTGCATGTCTTTGCTTTGTATTTAATATTCAGTGTTCTGAGATAATAAGATAGACCCCTGCTCCTGTTTTGTATTGTTTTAAGGATTTTTGATCTTGAATACTGTTCGTTATCTCCATATTTTTCATAGATTAGAATACGTACGTTAAGTTTCCGTTTGCTGAAATAAAACATGATCCGACATGAACAAGGTATTTTAGACACAGTAATCAATTACTTATCAAATATGTCTTCATACATATCATTGTTAACACATCTTTTATTTCCATTCAAAGTTAAAGTCATTTAAAATAATTTAAAAAATACTCACTGACTTTAGCAGTCTAAGGACACTTAATGGCAAAAAAACTATCTACTTCAGTAATGTTTACAGTAACGACAGCAGTGACACAGGGAGAAAAATTTTAGTGCAGTTTATACTTAAGTTTCTGATAAGAACCTGCCGTAAAATTATAGCGGAGGTTATAAAAAAAGGAAAACATGCAGCTAGAGATCAAAAAGGAAAGATATTTAAAATACTAACGTGGTCTTCAGTAATATAAAAGTGTTTTATTAAATTCAAATGGGATCCAAAATTATGATTTTGAAAATTATCTATTTTTCATCATAAATATTCCTTATTCATGAAGTACAGTCAGTGTAATTTTATTAAATAATTTTAAGTTTTTCGATATTCAGGAGCATGCTCCCAGTTCGATCAATTTTTAAAACGAGGCAGGTTACTGAAAAATAAGTTGAAGTAAAAAGGAATTTTAACAGCCCTATTAAAAGTAAGCTTTTTATATAATATATTGTCGTTAAAATGTCTTTATTTAAAGACTAACTGTCTAGTTTTGTTGCTTAATAATGTGAACAATCAGATTGCTTGCTTGATGTGAGCAATCAGATTGCTTGCTTGACAGCTGAATGCTGAAGGCGTTTTTTGCGTAAAATTATCACGTGAGTAAACTGATTGGTCACCATCATCATAAATAAAAAACAAGACAGTTTTTCCTTATGTTTAGACATTTAAAAAAAAAAATAAATAAATAAATAAAAAAAAAAAAAAAAAAACTTGTTCTTTGGATCATAAGAAATATTTTATGCAATTATAAGACATTTAAGCATCTCCTTAAGGTGTATTAATTACTAAGCAACACATAGCGAGAAAGAAATTGCTTTATGAGGTCATAGACCTTATTTGTATTTTTACCTCACACAAAGACACTGGAAATGTAAATATTCCAAATATAGTCTTTCAATGAGTTATATTTT